TAACTAATTAATTGTATTTATACTGGTTGCCCATAGTTGAGATCGAAACTTTTGTCAGCAGGCAGTTGGGATCTGGGATTCCCGTGGGGCATGGCCCATGGCCCGACTTTCTCCATATTCTCGGTAGTAGTTACAGAAAATGTTTTAAATAGTGTACATGTGGTCGTACAGGTCTACCGCGGTATTCTAGCAAATATAATTATATATAAACAAATATATAATACGAATTGCAAAAGAATAAAAATAATAAATGACCATAATCATTAATTTGGATAAAAATAAAACATTTCAAACCAATTTATATTTTTATGTTTTTAAATTAATATATTTTTTATATATAATTTTTTATTGGCCAGTATTTTGGACCGGCATTTTTCGATAATTACAACTACAAAAAAATTGTTAAATTCCAAAAGAAATTTTCCGTTGGAGTAGCTATTTCAACGAATATTCTTAAGCAAAAAAAATCTGTGGGAAAAATGTCCGTCGGAATAGCTAAAATCCTACAAAAATTCTTATGGAAATAAATTCCTACAGTTGTTCCAACGGAATATTTCCGTTGGAATTCCTCAACTATTGAAATAGAGTCCAACACTTATTTCATCGCTTATTCCTAAGGTTAATATACCGTTGGAATTTGTTCCAACTGCTATTTCAATGTAACATGCCTATTGGAATATTCCAATGGTTCTTCCTACGATTATAAAAGAAATGTGGGAGAATTCCAACAGAAAATTACCGTTGGAATTCCGTTGGAATATTTGCTTAATAAAATCATAAATTTTTAAATTATAAAATTTGAATAAAAAATATGAAAACTTGGTTAACCAAGAAAAACAAAAATAGTGGTACACAATTGAAAATCCCAAAACATAGATAAATCATCTTCAAAACATATCTAAAAACATACCACATTCATCTCCAAATTCAGTGATACCCATCAATGTCAAAAGCATTATCATATTTAGTGACCTAATAACCATTCTCCAAAATACAAATGCTAAGACATAAAATTAAAAGCTCCTAAATGTCATAATCATCTCCAAAATACAATCATCGTCGTGATTAGTGGCACGCACTATTGAAGCAAATGCATCAGGATTAGTCTTGTGAAGTTTCTCAGCTAGGCTGCGAAGTGAGGAAAATTCACTCTCCAATTGCACATTTTGTTGTTCCAATGCACTCATATGATCATTAAGCTTCTAGTCACGCAAGAACCTGAACATGTAGAGCTATAAAATAGCATCTCGAACCCAAATCCATAAGCTAACCCTTTTTTGTTCCAACCTCCATTTGCTTCATAAAAGCATGTTGGGTCATCAATGTTTGTAATGCCTTTTGAAACTTTCAACGCCTTCATAAGCATCCTGCATATGTAGTTTGCAAGACTTTACCAAAGTCATATATCAAGCAATAAATAAAACCTCAGATGTTGTGTAATTTTTCTGTACTTTATTTACATAAGAAAAAGGAGCACTAAAATCACATGTTTGGTAAGAATTTAAACAAAAAACAAAAACACAGAAGCACATGAACAATTTATTAGAAGATCTCAAGAAATCTTGCAAGCACAAAGAAAATAGATAAAAGAAGGGGAAATGAAAAATCTTGTCTCAACATAAACTATAATCAGGTCCATAAAAGTATATACCATCAGCAAATTCTAACTAATTTTGTTGGGATTACAAAAATAACATGGGAATTCTAAAATAATCCTCAATTTTTCGGAATCTATTACTATAAAATAAGGCTAAGATAAAATGTTTGAAAAACTCTTTAAAAAGTCCTTAAGTTTTCCCGCTTCTTTTTCCCTCTTTTTTTTTTCATTTTTGGTAATTTTTTTTTGAAATATTTTCCATATGCCGCCTAATTTGTTCCTTTTTTTTTTTCACCTAATTTTACTCCTCCTTTTTAGGATGAGATATATTTTCCATATGCCGCCTAATTTGTTCTTTTTTTTTCACCTAATTTTACTCCTCCTTTTTAGGATGAGATTTTTAGCTTTTAATTCGTGATAACTGATTTGTTTTAACCCCCTAAATTCCGTTTATTTTCCTTTTTTTTTTTATCGGATTTTGTTGATTTTTTTTTTTNTTTTTTTTTTTTTTTTTGGTACATTTTGAGTTATTTCGCTTTTTTGGATGGATTTGATAAATACAAATATTACACCAAATCGCATAAAAAATAGATTAATAATAATTTTGTATAATTCTATATAAATCCATCATTCCTTTAGAACTCCTTCCCTTTCACTTCTCTTCCGAAAAATAATCCTGCAAAAACATAAAAACTCGTCGTTAAGAAACATAAAAAAAAAAATGGCACCAGTGTTTGATACACTGCTCGCGGGTACTAGGGTGAACATGCCTTTTTTTTTAAAAAAAATTAAGAGTTACTCTAATTTTTAAAACCAATTACGAATTGGAGACAAAGAATTTATGTGCCATCATTTTGAAGATAAAGAGGTAATATTTTAATGTGTTGTTCATTTATTATTCGATTTAATGTGTTGTTCATTTATTATTCGTTTAATTTATTCGATTTATTGTGTTGTTTATTTATTATTCGTTTAATTTATTCATTTAATTTATTCAATTTATTGTGTTGTTCATTTATTATTCTTTTAATTTATTCGATTTATAGGGTACACAAATAAGTGGATTGATACGTTACAAACAATTGAGCTTATTTCAAGACGTTTTTAAAGAAGGCGACGTGTATTGTATCGTAAACTGTGGACTGAAACCCAATAATCGGCGGCAAAGGGCAACCCCACACGATTGGAAGATTGTGTTCATGAGTATTACACGCGTGATGAAATGGAATTGAAGTTTTCCATGAGCCTCTATAATTTTTTAAGATTAGATAATAATAAGTTTTATCGTAGCTTTCTTATAATTATGTGATCGTTAATTTTATTCCATATTGTTCAAGTTTACAAAGAAATTCTATTTTTCTTCCATGTCCTTCACCATTGCCATATTTTTATTCAATATAATGATATCATTCAATTTATTTTGGTGTTCATTTATTATTCATTTATTTTTTTGTTGTTCATTTATTATTTTATTTATTGTGTTGTTCAAACTTCCATAAAAACAAATGGAATAACGGACGTGTAATGTAGATTCGAATTATAAAATAATAACTTATTGGGAAAAAAAAAAGATTCAAACAAATGTAGCTTCTTACAAATATATTACAATGTCATTAAATTATCGTATATGATTTTCTCGACATTGTACTTATTAAATAATTATTAAAGGTCTATATTTAGTTCGAATTTCATAAGAATAGACTCATACATGATATTTAATAATGAATGAAAAAATTCCGAATAATGTGGATTCTTAACAATATAGTCCATTATCTTCAACATATCGAATTTTAATATCTTATATGCAAATAGATTCCTCGAAAATTTAATGTTGGAAAAAACAAGCACAAAATTGTGTATTCTTGAAAATAGATTATTTAAAAATCCTTATTTCATTTCAACCGATTTATTTTTGGATGGGATTTTATTAATTCCTACTTCACCAATACGCTAATTTCAATTATTTTATTTTAAGAGAGGATTTGGGAGATTTGTATGGTGTAATCCGATTTTTAAGAGAGGATTTGGGAGATTTGTATAGTTTAACAACTCATTCACACTTTTTTATATGATATAATATAATATGTTAGTTATAGATAACTATTATTTAATATATTTTAACAACTCCTTCACAAGTTTTTTATTTAATATATAATATGTTATTATAGATAACTATTCTTTATGATATTTTACCAACTTATTCACACGTATTTTTCACACGTTTTTGTTATATAATATAATATATATAATATATTAGTTAAAAATAAATTATATATATATATATATGTTAGTATTTACGCGAATCTACAACTCACTCTGTCATTCAATTATCAATCGTTAGAAAAATAATTTCTCATACACTAGCAGAAAAACAACTACATTATGGACCAATTAATGTGCTTGATCAGAGATCTTAAACGGAATACGAGGTCTCTGAGTTTCTCTCTCAAGCTTCGTGCTATTCGTATTTTCAAGAGATCCTTCAATCAAGCTGACACAACCAATCTCGAAGTTGTCTTTCATGATATTGAGGTTATTGTGATGTTGTTCTTAATAATATTTGTTGCATTAATTTTGTTTTACAAATATTGATTCTTATATTTTTTAACGACGTAGATCTATGTTTTGTAGGGTACCCGCATAATAGGTATAATTCGTTTTATGCCTATATTTGCTGGCGAATTTGAAGAAGATGGAGTCTATGTCATTAGAAATTACCAACTTGATTTTAATATTGGAAAACATAGATCTACGCGTGATGAACTCAAAGGCATAATTGACGAAGATACTTCTGTTCTTCAACTGCTTTCCAATTTCCCAACGTGGCAATTCGAGTTCCAAAGTTTTGAT